TCCGACTATAATGAAGCACTGGATAGTTTTGGGAAGAATAGAATTCAGGACTGGACTGATGAGGACAAAAGAATTGATTGTAAGGCTTTGTCAAAAATTCAACTCCATTTGCATAATAATATTTTGCAGGAATTTTTGAGCGAGAAAACTGCCGCCGCTCTATGGTTAAAGCTGGAAGGGATTTTCATGACAAAAGATCTCACCAGTAAGATGCATCTGAAGCAAAAATTATTCCTGCACAGGTTACCCGAGGGAGGTAATGTTTTGAATCATATTTCAGAATTTAAAGAGATCATATCTGATCTAGCTGCAGTGGAGGTTAAGTATGAAGAGGAAGATACTGCTTTAATGTTACTTTGTTCACTTCCAAGTTCTCATACCAATTTTAGGGACACCATAGTATACAGTCGTGATACTTTCACACTTAATGAAGTTTATGAAGCTTTGAACTCTAAGGAGAAGATGAAATTAATGGTGCCTCATGATGGTTTGAGTTCATCCCAAGCCGAGGGATTATCTGTTCGTGGCAGGACAAAGGAGAAGAACTGCAATAATGGAAACAGAGGCAAAAGTAAGAACGGCTATAAGGGCCGGTCACAATCCAGAGACAAGAAATATTACAGATATTGCAAGAGAGACGGGCATGGCATCTCAGAGTGTTTCAAGTTGCAGAATAAAGAAAATAGGAAAGGTAACAAACAAGGTGACAATTCTGCTAATGTTGCTCGTGATGATAGTTCCGATGATGCTCTTTTCGTTATTGTTGGATGTGCTGAGACCACTGATGAGTGGGTACTTGACACTGCATGCACTTTTCATATGTGTCCACATAGATATTGGTTTAATACATTTGATTCCACTACTGCTGTTGGTTCCGTTTTGGGTTTTGATAATTAACCATGCAAGATTGAATGCATAGGTTCTATAACCAAGATGTTTGATGGCATAACCAGAACTTCGACAGATGTTCGGTATATTCTGAAGATGAAGAGAAATCTTATTTCTATGAGTGCCCTTGATGCAAACGGGTACAAGTATTCAGGTGGAGATAGTGTTTTGAAAGTCACCAAAGGTTCCCTTATTGTGATGAAAGGTGATTTGAGTTCGACCAATGGTCTTTATTACCTTCGAGGTTCTACCGTTTCAGGTAATGCTACTCCAGTTATTTCAAAGAATTCTGATTGTGATGCTGCTAACCTTTGGCATATGCATCTTGGACATATGAGTGAACTTGGTTTAGCGGAGTTAAATAAGAGAGGTCTTCTTGATGGATATGAACCTGTTAAATTGAAACTTTGTGAGCATTGTATCTTCGACAAACACAAGAGGGTGAAGTTCAACACTTCGACTCATACAACTGAAGGTATTCTTGATTATGTTCATTCTGATTTGTGGGGACCATCTCGCAGAAAGTCACTAGGTGGTGCTAGTTATATGCTAACTATTATTGATGATTATTCAAGAAAAGTTTGGCCTTATTTCTTGAAGCATAAATATGAAGCATTCTCAGCATTTAAGGAGTGTAAGATTATGATTGAAAAACAAACTCAAAAGAAGGTAAAAATACTTCGCACTGATAATGGTATGGAATTCTGTTCTAAGCAATTTAAGAATTATTGCAAGTCTGAAGGCATTGCCAGACACTACACCGTTCCTTATACTCCTCAATAAAACAGTGTTGCTGAGCGTATGAACAGGACCATTATTTCCAGAGCCCGTTGCATGTTGTCCAATGCAGGTTTGCATAGGCGTTTTTGGGCTGAGGCCGCTTCCACTGCTTGTTATCTCATTAACCGTTCACCATCTATTGCTCTTAATAAGAAAACTCCAATTGAGGTACGGTCTGGTTCACCTGCTGATTATTCATAGTTGAGAGTTTTTGGTTGCACTGCTTATGCTCATGTTGATAATGGAAAGTTGGAGCCTAGGGTTGTTAAGTGCATCTTCCTTGGTTATAAGTCTGGTGTTAAAGGTTTTAAATTGTGGAATCCTGAAACCCAGAAGGTTGTTATTAGCAGAAATGTTATCTTTAATGAATCTGCTATGTTGCATGATGTTTCATCTACTAATGTTCCTGTTGAGAGTGAACAACAGCCTACTATTCAGCAGCCTACTGTTCAGGTGGAGCATGTTATTGATTCAGGTGATACATCTGGTAATGAAATTGTTGATGCATATGATGAACCCGTCATTAATGATGATCATGTCACTCCCACTCCAAATCAGCCTATTGTTCCGCCCAGTTGGAATCTTGCACGTGACAGAGTTAGGCGGGGTATTAATAAACCTGACAGGTTAATTGAAGAGTGCAATGTTGTTTCTTTTGCTTTATCTGTTGCAGAAGAAATTGAAGATAATTCTGAGCCTTCTTCATATTCCGAGGCTATTATTTCTGGTGATAGTAATAAGTGGATGACCGCTATGCATGATGAGATGGAATCACTTGAAAAGAATGGAACTTGGGATTTAGTAAAATTACCTAGAGAGAAGAAACCTATTCGTTGCAAGTGGGTTTTTAAGAGGAAAGAAGGTGTTTCTCCTTGATGAGACAAGATATAAAGCAAGGTTAGTTGCTAAAGGTTACAGTCAGATTCCAGGTATTGACTATAACAAAGTCTTTTCTCCTGTTGTGAAGCATAGCTCTATTCGCACTTTACTTAGTATTGTTGCCATGCATGATCTTGAGATTGAACAATTGGATGTTAAAACTGCATTTTTACATGGAGAATTAGAAGAGGATATTTATATGGAACAACCTGAAGGTTTTGTTATTCCTGGAAAAGAAAAACTTGTCTGTAAGTTAAAGAAATCTCTTTATGGATTGAAGCAATCCTCAAGACAGTGGTACAAGAGATTTGACACTTTTATGCTCTCTCAAGGTTTTAAAAGGTCTAATTATGATAGTTGTGTTTATTTGAAAATTGTCAATGGTTCAACTATTTATTTGCTCCTTTATGTTGATGATATGCTAATTGCTGCAAAGAGTATGTCAGATATCGATGAACTAAAGAAGCAATTGAGTAATGAATTTGAGATGAAGGATTTGGGTGCAGTAAAGAAAATACTTGGCATGGAAATATCCAGAGATAGACCATCTGGAAAAGTATATCTAAGTCAGAGAGGATATATTGATAAAGTTCTTCGTCGTTTTAACATGCATAATGCCAAGCCAGTAAGTACTCCATTAGCTGCACACTTCAAATTATCATCAGCCTTATGTCCTAAATCAGATGCAGATATTGAGCACATGTCTAGAGTTTCCTATTCGAGTGCAATTGGTTCACTTATGTATGCCATGGTTTGTTCTCGTCCGGATTTATCTTATGCATTGAGTGTTGTCAGTAGATACATGGCTAATCCTGAAAAAGAGCATTGGAAAGCACTCCAGTGGATTTTCAGATACCTGCGTGGTACTTCTAATGCTTATTTACAGTTTGGGAAAACTAGAGATGGACTTGTTGATTTTGTTGATTCTGATTTTGCCGGTGATTTGGATAAGAGAAGATCACTCACAGGTTATGTTTTCACCATTGGTGGTTGTGTTGTGAGTTGTAGAGCAACTTTGCAGTCTATTGTGGCTTGTTCCACTACTGATGCTGAGTATATGGCTATTTCTGAGGCATGCAAAGAAGCTATCAGGTTGAGAGGTTTATACACTGAGCTTTGTGAAGATTCATCTTGCCCTACCGCATTTAGTGACAGTCAAAGTGCTATATATCTTACAAAGAATCCAGTGTATCATGAGAGAACAAAGCACATTGATGTCAGATATCACTATATTCGAGATGTTGTTGCTGAAGGTGATTTGAAGGTATACAAGATAAGTACTCATGATAATCCTGCTGATATGATGACAAAGCCAGTTCCGACCAATAAGTTTGAGCTTTGCTCAGGCTTAGTTGGTATTTCTCACTAGTCCTATGGACTTTGACGCACAAGGTGTTTATACTGACTTGGATGGAGTTATTCACTTTCTTCGACTACTTGAGAGAATTTGGATCAAGGTGGAAATTGTTAAATTGTGATCCAAATTATACCATGTTGGACTAGACGTAGTACAACATGTGTGGGCCTTTGCGTTGACGTCGACGCGTACGAGTACAACTCGTTTACTTGTCCTCCAAGGATTCTCATGTATTGCCCTCATATATATCTCATGTAGTGGCATCTAAGACGGTCTGTCGTCTCGTGCTTGTAATACTCCTCTTCATAGTGATTGCGTCTTTGTGCATCCGTGGTTTTCTCCCGCAAGGGTTTTCACGTAAAAATTCATGTGCTCTCGTGTCTCGTTTATTCTCGTTATTATCTAACAAATGTATACAAGATGAACGTTGATGCGTGCTCTATGGAGAATGGAACTGAAGCAATCATCGAGGAGAAGCTTTGGCATGCTCGTCTGCTCTGTTTGATCATGTGCTAGATGCCCCTACAGCAGAATGTTTGGCGCTAAAGAACGGGATGATGCTAGCGGATCAACCATGGATGTTCCCAAATCATTTTTGAATCTGATTAAGTAGAAATATTAAGGCCTGCAATGGGGAATTAGAAATATTAAGTCCCTACTCTTCACTACGGGCAGAATGCTTTCTGTGCTCAAAGGATTGGCTCAGTATCCTTTACTTATTGCACGAGAGAAGCAAACAATGTGGCACACACCCTGGCTAGGAAATCTTTCTATTCACATTCTGTTTTTTCTTGGGAGGATGATCCCCCAGATTTCCTGTTAGCTGATCTTATTAGAGATGTATCAATTATCTTAGATGAATAAAGTGTACCACAAGTTCAAATGTGCTGTCACTTGCCGGCCATCTTATAGATATGAAAATGAAGCATAAAGAACGGTAAAATATTATTCAGGGCACTCATCCGGCATATCCATCTAACTATCTTTCAGATAAACACATTCAAACTGCGCCATACATACGATCATGGTCAACAGACTCTAGTGGTCATATTAGACGCTGGCTAACATGCGCATACTACACTGATATCATAGTTATTTATTTCTCAAATTGCGTCAGCATCTCCTGGGCAGTCTCACGCCAAACGTTGTAGAGCTCATCCGAGAACAGAACAAAATGCACCTGCCAATTACAAAGTGATTTACATATTTAATAGACATAGATGACAACACCACGAAAACAGGATAACAAACTTCCATGTCTAGAGAGGTGTAATACTGCAAGTCTGACTAGTCATAATGGATTTCCAATTAAATTATTGGTTGTATAGTTCCTGCATTTTAGTGTAAAATGGCATGTGGTTACAAATACCAGTGGCACTGCAGTATACTACCACAGGCTACGACTAACCTCTTTAATATCCCCTGAAATTTGTTGAGCAGCTGAAATAGCTATGTTTGATGCTTCCTTTGGAGGGTAACTGCATGCATGCTCAAATCGTGTTAAACTTCTAAATTTTGATAGTGCAAAAAATAAACTGCATAAAAAGTAGATAGATGAATGAAAACGGGCACCTGGTACATACCGGAAAATACCACAAGATATAGCAGGGAATGCAACGTACTGAATGCCATTCTCTTTAGCAACCTTTAAGCTATTTCTGCAATTAACAAATGCAGATCAGGTTGTTTTTGCCTGATTCAGCAGCTAGAACGGCCTTCTCTAATATATAGTGTAAAAGGAGGAACTTACTCGTATGCATTCTTTAGTGATACCTCAGGCTTCCTGTCCATATCATATATGGGCCCAACTGTATGGATCACACGGGACACAGGAAGCTCAAAAGCTCTGTTCACATTCAATATACAGGCAAATTGATATAGTTTCACGAAGATAGCATTCTGTTGGTACCAAAATGAATGAGAGAAGGTACTGACGGAGTAATTCTAGCTTCTCCAGTAGAGCAACGGACTCCAGGTTTAACCTCTGGAACTTCACGGCATGCTAGAACAAGCTGTGGTCCAGCAGCTTGATGTATAGCTGACATAGGGGTTTCGACTTAGTAATTAGTATGAGATATTGGACCATCAGTGAAAAATAAAATTATTACACTTCTCAAAAGCTAGTTTATACCTCCATCAACACCTCCCCCTCCTAGCATTCGTTCATTAGCAGCACTGACCTGCCAAAATAAATCTCAGTTATATAATTCACTGTTGAATACAGAGAAAGATAATTGCTTCTATGCAAAATGTAACACATCAGTTTATTATAAAACACAAATGGAAGTAACAGAAGGATTTAGTAAATACTCACATAATAGATCATATCATACAAGCTTGCAAAGGCTTAAGATCGTAACTGGCTGAATGGATTTGTAATAAGATATTGGATTTATAAACTTGTTGCAGAAGGGACTGCAACTTTCCTGATGATTTGAGGCTCAGAACTCAAATTCCACTCCATGGAAAATAAGCTGACAGTCATTGGGGAACTTGATTCAGACTTCTTGGTGATGCCCTTAATGGCAGACGGAACCGATACGGACATTAAAACAGAAAATAAGCATAGCTAAGAAGACCCTGTTCCCCAACCCAGACCTAGGCAAAGGCCTGTTCCATCTGAGAAGCCAGCCTAACTACAACGCCGTCTGGTGGTTCCGGAACTGGGTTCAGTTCATCCCATGCTCAGATCCCACTACGCGCCGTAGCTGCTACTGCGTATCTGGTAAAATACAACTCGACCCATCTCACCTATCCAAGCATATCTACATACGCAAGCAGTATTGCGTGGAGGAGACAAGGTGGGATTGGATGATGGGATGGAGCGGAGGAACTTACGATGGTGTCGGTGGCGCCGTCGACGGACCAGAGGGTGATGTCGCCCTTGTGCAGCTTCAGCGCGCCGGCCCCCGACGCAGCCGACAGCCGGAACGCCTCGCCGCCTCCGAATCCAGACGCCGCCATCGCGAAGGCTCTCCTCGCTGGGCCGATGCTTGGCCGCCGCCTACGCAGCCACTTGGGAAGTGGAAGTGGGAGCAACGACGGCGTCAGGAAAATTCTGGTGGCCGCACGCGACGACATTCGTGGGGAGCGAGCGTGAGTGTCCCTGTAGGCCTGGACGGCAGCCTGGAGTAGGCCTAGATCCGTGTTACTCTGGACCTTTTGTTTGGCCCGTTTATAAGCTCGGCCCGCGTAGCACATTCCTTCTAATTGCACCTCCGCGGTAGCTCCTATACTACGCATTCTGCGTCAAAATGTCGCGCTTTCGCACAGGCACATCGTTCGCGGTGCGTTGATTGGGCCGGCCCATTGCAGTGCGCCGCAAAAAGCAAGTGGAAAAAAATCGCAGAAAGGTAGGTCGCGACGGGAGCTCCTATAGGGCGCCTTAAGCGCCGGTTGAGGATCCGGGCGCCCACTGCAGCCCGCTAGTGGGCCGGCCCATAAATACGCTGGCCATTGAAAAAATGTATTTCTGCCGGATAAAAGAATACTATGAATCATTCGCTCTTAGGAAAATTCGAACCCGCACCAACAAGCAGCAGCGCATGGTAGGCTTACCACTATACCAACTATGCCCAACTGAAACAATTGCAACGCGAAACATTTAAGAGGTAAATCTCATCCGCGCTATATAGAAAACCGTGATTCCTTCTGGAAAAAATTGAACAAAATTTGAATATCCACAGATTTAAAAAAAACATCACGAAAAAGGGAAAAAAGTTCATTAAAATGGAAAAGTTCATCGATTTGAAAATAGTTCATAGATTCTGAAAAAAAGTTCATCGATTTTGAAAAAAGTTCATCGAATTTGAAAAAAAGTTCACCGAATTTGAAAAAAGTTCACTGATTTTACAATTCATATGATTTGAAAAAATTTCATTGAATTGAAAAAAGTTCACCGAATTTCAAAGAACGTTGATATAATCCGTTGAACTATTCTCATAGAATTAGAGAAAGGAAAAAAGAATAGGAAAAAGAATAAGAAAAATGAAAGGAAAGGAATAATAAAGCAACAGAAAGGTTGTTTGTAACCACGTCTGATCTACCCGCTGAGTTGGCTAACGTAACTTGCTTGCAACGCGAGGTCGTAGGTTCGAAACCCGCCGGTCGCACTCTTTTTGCATCACTTAGAGACGGAAAGTGGGAGGCGGTATGGGCCGGTTCATCTCAGCGCAGGGGGTGTGCGCCCGTTTGCGTACACCGAAGGAACGGGCGCAGAGGGCGCCGTTTAGGGTTTGCCAGTCGCGACGGTTGGGAATCGAACTCGGTACTAGCCACTATGATGGAGGAGCTCATTGAACCAATCTACAGAGAAAAGCTAAAAGAACTAACGAAAGTATAAGACTTAACACTATTTGAAAATATCCTTTACCATTTTCCAAATTTTAATTAAATTTTTGAACTTACGGTTTTGTTTTGACAAAAGGAAACAATATTATGATATCATGAACAAATTTTGAATTTCCCAAACTTTTTTTGAAAACGTGAACCTTTTCAGAATTTGTGATTAATTTTCTAAAGCACGACCATTTTTTAAATTTGAGAACAAATCTTGAAACGGAGAACAATTTTGAAAATCCCGAAAAAATTAAAGCACAAACATTTTTTGAATACGTGAACAAATTTTTTGAAATCCAGAACATTTTTTGAAATTGTTGAACACAATTTTTAAAACATGAACATTTTTTATAAAAAGGCAATCTTTTATTTGAAAAAATCCGGGCACTTGTTGGAAAGGCAAAAAATGAATATTTTGAACATTTTTCATTTTTCATTTTCTGAACATTTTTTGCAAAAACACGAACATTTTTCCAATTTTGAGAACTAATATTTGAAACTTCTGAACAATTTTTGGAATCGTGAACAAATTCTGAACAATTTTATGAACAAAGCAGGACAAAAGGAAAAACAAACAGAGAAACAAAAAAAGGAAAAAAACAAAGAAAAGGAAACCGAACAAGAAAAAAAGAAAAAAAACAGAAAAAAGAAGAAAAAAACGAAAAAAAAATGAACAAGAAAAAAACCGGTTCAGAAACCTTCTAGAAGTTTCCCAAAACAAGAAAAAACCGGCTGGAAACCTCTAGAAGGTTTCCAAAACCGGGGACATTGAAACGGTTAAACGGGAGGGCCCAGTCGAACGATCGCTGATTTCCCCTGTGCGATACCTCGACAGTTTGGCGCGGTATGCGTCTAATAGGAAATTCCGAAAAATCCTATCTGCCACACTGTCGTTGATTGGCACAGACCGAGCCACCAGCGAGCCACATGGACCGGCCCAATTATCGGTAAAGAACATGTTACAGTACCAGCCGGTTTTAGAGATCAACTAATGAAGGAGTACTCCTTTGGGAGCCCCTCAAAGGTCATTTGGGGTAGGCTAGATCTTTGGCGCACTCTCAGCCACCGTCACATGTCACGCTTTGGGCTCTTCCTTCAAATTTATTTTTTTATTTTTTTGTACGTGTTTTTGGCTTTAGATAATTTTTCTTGATTTCCCTTGATTTTTCTTAGGTTTTGCACACAAAAATTACAAAAAAACTAATGCGAAAAATGTGTTTTTTCTCTTTCGCGAGAGGCACAGATTTACTTCTCGTGGAGACACGGATTTGTTTACGCGAGAAGCACGGTCGTGCTTCTCCCAAAAGGGAAAAAGCCACATATTTACTTCACGTGAAGGCATGGATTTGCTTTTGCGAGAGGTACAATCGTGCCTCTCAAAAAAGGAAAAACATGTTTTTTCTTCTTCTTCCGCGAGAGCCACATATTTATTTCTCGTGGAGGCACGAATTTTCTTACACGAGAGACACGGTCGTGCCTCTTACAAAAGGGGAAAACGCTTTTTTCTATCACGAGAGGCACAGATTTACTTCTCGTAGAGGAACATATTTGCTTATACGAGAGACACGACCGTGCCTCTCGCAAAAGAGAAAACATATTTTTCCCCTACCACGAAAGGCATAGATTTACTTCTCTAGGCATGGATTTGCTTCTGCGGGAGGCACGACCATGCCTCTCAAAAAAGGAAAAAATGTGTGTTCTTTTCTTCTTCTTCCGTGAGAGACACAAATTTACTTCTCGTGGATGCACGAATTTGCTTCCATGAGAGGCACGGTCATGCCTCACGGAAAGGGAAAGAACAGTTTGTTAAAATCTATCAACATAGGATGAATCCAACAGTGAAAACAAGTTGTGAAGATGTCGATGCGAGGAATCCAATGATCAAAACGGTTCAAGATTTGGACGCACGGTTTAAGAGATAAAATGTTTTCAATACAGTCTACTAAAAAAGAAAAAGCTCTCATGTTGCGACACGTGGTACACATGCAGTGTGACACTTGTCGTAACCTATGAAGATGGAAGTAACCTTTGAAAATAGTTCTTAATTAGTGATTTTGCGGGCTTTGAGAATGTTTTTGGAGGTTCAGTCGGTTTTTTCAGGTTTCAGGAACCTTCTACAAGGTAAGGGAAGGTTCTTGAACAAGGTTTATGTCTTTTTTTGTTTCTTTTCTTTTTCTCCTGTTTTTTTTGATATTTTTCTCTCCTTTTTCTTTTTCTTTTTTGGTACACTAATTTGGATATAAGATTCTTATGACTAAGAATAATAATGAAATTCCTTGAAAACATCTTCTTTGAAGTATCAATCTCTGCTCAGAGAAATTCTTCAAAGACTTGGTAAAGAGGCTGCAATTGGACTAGAGCAACGATCTTGTCACTTTTTCACCTCCACGGATATGACCAATAATGGTTTTTGAAAGCGCCTTCAGTCGCACATCCAAAAAGATGCATTGATACCACGAGGTGCTATACAAATGGTTTTTAACCCCTTTCTGCGATGGCGTTTTGAACCGTCGCCAAGTGAGTGACTGCGATAGGGGGTCCTTCCCACATGACCCAGAAATTGTCGGGGATAGGCCCTACGGTCACACATGCTCGGCAAATGAGGTCGTGTGCGGTGGGCGAGCGATCAAATACGGTTATACAGGCCCAATCGGCTCTGGTCGTAAGTACATCCCACACAGTCAGCCCAAAATAAACGTTTCTGTTTGTTACGTACATTCCATAGTCAATCCAAGGGATACGTTTTCGTTCTTATGTACACCCCACACAGTCAATTCAGGGAAAACATTTCCGTTCGTATATACATTCCACATAGTTTTATGTATAGCCTCGTGTGTGATATGTGTAACTATCACACATGCTCTGCCTCGGTTAACCGTTTGCTTTTAATCAACTACATCACACACGATTTGATGAATAAAATTGTATGTCATTGGGCTATCCATCACAAGCGCTTTTACTGCTAGAACCATTTGCAAAGTTCCACGACCCATTTAGCAGGTTTATTAGTTTACAATTGATAATTCCAGTATTACGAAATTCACATTTCATATAGAATAACTTTTTGCCAATTTCATGTCACGCACATAAATATATTTTAACATCACAGTACGATAGCTACCTGAAAACATCACAATACATCATATAGCTAGTTCATCCTCATAAGAACAATATTAGAACAATATATTCATTTCCCTAATCGAGATCATTCAGACTCGTCTTATCCACCTCTGCTTTCAGTTTAGTAAGAACTTGTTTTGCACTGACCAACTAGGAAAGTCTCTCCTTCGCCAACACCATCTTAGCAAAGTCTAATTTAAAAAATCTGAGCTCATTCTCTATCTTCCTCTTTTTATCCCGCTTCTTCAAATATTCTTCAGCGTTGACGACACTTTCTCTAAGTCTACCTCTGTTCTCTTCCTCATACATGCTCCAGAGCTTTGCTAGGCACATCTTCAAAGACTGTGGCCACTCTTGATCAACCCACTCCAGGGAAGAACACTTTCATTCATCCTATAATATTTAAAACTACATCAGTAACAATTGTAGGGGAAATGGATTTCTAGCAACATAGAAAATCACCAAATACATATTTTGAAAAACTGAAGAAACAGGTTAATTATGACGTATCTTCTCAAAAAGATCAATGTGCAAATGAATTAATTGCTACTAAAACAACATCCAAATTCTGAAACATCAGAAGCTATAATTAACTACAACAATGCTACAAGTTCTTAGTCATGTACTATAAATAACAAATTGAATATTTTATGAGGAAGCTAAATATAACTGCAACAACATAGCGACAATGTTTGGATGACAGCAAATTGATACTAACAGGTGTGTACATGCACAAATTTTGT